TGGTATCTATGTTTATAGTTTATTTATTAATATAATATTTCATGTAGCTCAAGGTAATTTATAATTGTTATAACACTGCTTCTTATTTCTTTTTTTATAATCCCATATTTGAAATATTAAATTCGTTCTCTTATTAGTTTTATATATTTTGTTTTTTTGTTTCCCCTACATAGTATAAGTATAATAAATACTCATCTTAAATAAAAATTATTTTGTTTATATAATGAAGATTATATATTGAATAGAATAATTACATGTAAAATTATATACGTTCTATATTATTAGAGAAGATAAAGTTAAAATTTAATAATTTAATATCATACTTACATTACACAATAAATTAATTAAGTTGAATACTATTTGTCACAATTTTTTTAAATATTGTAAGCGGTTAGATGCACCGAAATGAATTAACATTATAATGATTTGCATCCAGTGGGTCTTTTGATTTAGTGAAAGAGATGAGGAAAATCTTTTCATTTTCAAAATATAAAAATAGAATCCGATGTATTTAGTGACGATTGCCAGAAGATAATCTTCCCAATGTATAGTTAAGATAAATTATATTCATACTAATATAATGTTATCATCATTACCTTGATCATAATTGTATAAAAATTGAATAAAACTTATTCAATAAATGTTTTTATAACTGTTCAAAAATATACATTCATGAACTATAAATCAACTTTAATAGCATAGGAGAGAATATATGAAAAAGTGAAGAAAATTAAACATGAACGATATTAAGCTGAGCATTATGAAGTCTTATATGATAAATTTTATGAAATGTCTTACACTATATTTGCAGCATTGCTTATAATAAAAAACTTAAAAATTCTTCATTAAAATGAAATTTGTTATAAAAGTGAAAAATTTAACTAATCATTTATAATTATATATACATTAAATATAATACATCAATTTTTTGTTTTTGCTTATATATCTTTTTGAGATTGTAAAAATATTTTTATAATAGATTTTTCAGCATCATAATAGAATGTTATATATAAATAAAATAAAAAAATAATTACACTTGAATCGTATAATTAAAAATATATCATAGAGAAACTCAAAAAATTACAAATTTTATATAAATACATCAGTATTTCTTATATATTTAATCCGACTATATACTCATTATACATTTAGGTAAGGTTGTAGGAATTCATAAAGCAACTATACCATTTGTAAATGAACCATACAATCCACACAAACTTAATATTCATGCGAGCATTGATTTTTATCGCGATTTTAATAAGAAATCGACATATTTTTAAATATTTTTTGCAAATCGTATGTAAACGATTAATGAAAAACTTCATTTTATTCTATAAAAATTGATTCAATAAAAAGATATGAAATGAATATTACACGTTCAGTCATTTATATATTCAATTATATTTATGATCATTGCACTCGATCTAGCTTAAGTATAGTGAAAAATATTAAATGCATTTTATTATCGACTAGTTTTCAATGATTTTTAAATAAAAATGTGAATAAGTTAGATGAATTATTTAAAAATTAATTTATATTTTTCTTCATAATATTTACATATTTTCTTCAAAACAGCAAATTTATAACTAGTTATTCGCTTTCACTCGGGAAATTATGTTTCGATACGCGCTGTTGCCAAATTTATGACGATCGATTTAACCTTTACAATTTGCACAGTTTGTTAGTATTAAAAAGCTTGTAATGGAACTTTTTGTAAAACGATTTATAATTATATGTAAAATAAAGAAATGTATAACTTTTCATATATAATAATTAAGAAAATTATAAATAGCAAGTAATTGAAAAAAATATAACAATTTTTTTATGTAAACTAAGGAATATATAAATATTTTATAATATTTTATAATATATTGTATATTGTTAGGGATGGCATATTATCATTTAATTATTATCAGGTTAACAAAGGTGTCTTAATTCTACTTAATGAGATAATAATTATTCTTTATAAATACACTATATTAATTGCAGCTAATGTATTAAAACTTAACAAATAATTATTCATACTATTTCTAATTATAAAAACTTTTCATTGCGATTAATCAATATTTTATTCGTTTTAATTTATGAAGCAGAATATAAATGAAAATAAATTTACTATTTAAGATTTGTATTTTAAATTTTTGCAAGTATAATTTTTAATATATTAAATATGTTTTAATATATTATAAATAATTATATATATGTGTGTGTGTGTGCGTGCGTGTGTGTGCGCGCGTGCGTGCGCGCGTGTGTGTGCGTATGTATGTGTATGTGTAATACTAACTTTTGTTTAAAGAATAGTTTTTTAATTCTAATAATAAATTTGTATCGAAGCCTATTATATTTCAATCGTAACATTTCGAAAATATTAATTCTACATTTCAACTCTGTAAAGTTTTTTCTCAAAAATATTTTACTAATAAATATAGAAATAATAGTTCTTTATTATATCTATTTATATAATATTCTTTAAAATATTCGAAATAGCGTATTTTTATGTATTTATATATATATATATATATATGATTTAATAAATTAATAAGCAGTCAGATTTCAATTTCACTATATTATTTTTGAAAATTACACTATATATATATATATATATATATAATTATGTAATGTGCTATGCGAACTCATGAAATATTTAATTATGAAAAATATAATTTGACGATTTGCTGGAAATAAATTACATAATATTTATGGAATTCGATGACGATAAATTTATAATATAATATATTTATATATATATATATATATATATATATATATATATATATATATATATATATTTATTCATATATACATGCTTTTATATGCAAGGCGAAGATAACGTATTCATTGATTATTTTATTTGTTAAGACCTCCTTATTTAAAGTTTAAATAAAAAATTTAATTTATAGAATTTTTTTAGCATTCGTTAATTAAAAAAAGATAAAATTTTTTAGAAAGAATAATTAATAATCGAGGAAATAAAATAATTTACTTTTCTTATATTTTTAAAAGCAATTTTATAATACATATATACTTTAGCGATATGAAAAATGATAAAAAGATAATTTATAAGTATATAAATATATTAATCTTATAAAAACGAAAATTATCTTTATTCAATTGATAATTCAGAACAATATCGTACATGAACATATATTATTAAATAAGTTGGATCACCTTTGCATCATTAGTGTGGAAAATTGAAAACTTATAACGTAGTAATAATTACGTAATGGCAAAGCTATAACTTACGTGTAAATAATATTTAATAATTCAAAGTTTTTACTTTTATTTATTTATCAATTTTACTTAATATATAATAGACCAGATAATATAATAGACTGTATTAAATTGAATATATTTTATGATTCATTATCTGATTGTATATTCAACAATCGATATTAAAGTAAGTATAGTAATTATTAAGCATTGTAATTAAGTAATTATTAAATATTTTATTTAAATAACATTGTCTATTTTTAAATATATTTATGAATCTTTTGTACAACAATATTGTAACAACAGACATCGTTTATTCGTATGCTTTTTATTAAAAACACAAAATAAATTTTTTTAGATTTATCATTCATGTTTAGAATAATAGTAATAATGTTTGCATTTGTTTCTTACTAATAGATATAAGATTTTATGCACATTTAATGGGGACATGCCGAAAGAAGGAATTTTTCATTAAAATTTTAACACACATTTATTACAATTTTTTTTTTTTACTATCAAGTAAATATATACATTTTGAATATTGTTGTTTTAAAATGTCCATTCATTTCTATAACGAATATATTGAAAAATGAAGTCAAAAGAAAATATTTAATGTACATTGTCGTTGAAATATTTGTTTATTTTTGAAAAGTACACGTTTATATTGTTCTTACATTGTACAATCATCGTATTTATAATATTGCACATTTATATTTTTAGATTAATTAAATTACGTATTGATTAATTATAGATTTTTCTTTAACAATATCATCCTTACTATCTATTGTTTGTACAAATACAATATACAAATAAAAAATGTACTACTTATTTCAGGCTGTTGCCTAGAATATAGCATTATTTAAATATATTTATTACATTTAATTATATACTGAATAAACTATTACATGTGTATGTATTTAATATAGATTTATATATATATATATATATATATATATATATATATATATATATATTTTTTATGCTAAATTTTAAACAATAATTTGCAAATAGATTAATGTATATTAATATATGTTAAAACAATATACATTAAAAAAAAAACCTTTAACATTAAATACTTATATAACTAAATATAATGTTTTTATTATAGTGGAAACTTCTTACATGTGAAAATAAGAAAATGAAATAAATATACGTAACCATACCCTACTTTTATTTGAATTTCTATGATGTGGTTTGAAATTTCATTAGTTTTTCTTCAATTTATAATACATTGTGAGTAAACATTTTTTTTTTTTACAATATTCGTAAACATATAAAATACAAGTGGAACGAATTGAAAATAATACTTTTCAAATCTAAAAAAATATTTTCAGTCAATCGAAACGGTTATGTGACATCACATCCCATGTTTGGGCCTAATGTTAGATATGTAGAAGAAAACGAATTTCCCTATGTGGTTTCTATTGCGGAGCTAATACTTCAAAACTCTGTTGTACAAAATTTCCATGCCTGCACGGGCGTACTTATTACACGACAGGATGTTTTAACTGCAGGACACTGTATACATCAGGAAAGTTGGCAGAATTTCGTAGTAATTGTTGGCTCGGTTGATTTTCAAGTGGGTAACAGATACTCTATTTTATGGTGGATATCCTATAATGAATGGATGGAACAAGTTCGACATGTGCGAGAATTCGAAGTTAATGACATTGGCACTATAAGGGTAAAAAAATGATCTCGAATGACATAAATGAGCATAAATTTATGTATATAGTTATGAAATTTTTATTTTAACTTATAATAGTCACTTAACCTTTCTTATAGTTACAACAAAAAGTTCCAGAAAATTTTAATATAGCGACTCTTTCGCCTTTGTCACCTGCCTACTTTTACAATAAGAATGCAATAGTAGCTGGATGGGGTAAAAACGAATACAACATTTTACCGACAATGATGCGTACAGCTCAACTAATAGTATTAAGAATGAGGGAATGCAGTAGTAAACTTAGTAGAATACTTGCAGAATTAATTCTAATTCATAATAGATATATTTGTACTTGTGCAGATCCTCATGTGGTAATGAATCATGTAAGTAGTATTTTTCAAAATATTATTTCATTTTTCATTTTACTTGATTTTCAACAACATTCATAATAAACTTTATAAATTGCTTTATATTTTACTAATGCATTTTATATTCTACAATATCGTTTATTCTAATTATGTTTGCTATTTAACAATTTTCTATTTATTGACAATAAAATTATCTACATTTTAAATTTTAATCAATGATAAGCTTAGCATTTCGTAAACAAACATTTTACATTATACTTATACTATTCTAATAGTACATGATTTAAAGAGAATACAATCGATTGTATTTAATGCGTATTTCTTGATTCTATAATATAAAGGTTAAAATTTTACACAATTTCATATTTTACAAATTAATTTATCTTACTGTTACTTGTGCGAGTAAGATGTTGTTTATCTTACCGTTCATTGATTAATTTTTAGAAATAAAAGTTTAAATTTTCCAATTGTTCTATCAAAATTTCAATTGGTAGCAACTTGTTCTGCATAATTTATAAACTTTTCAATTTTTAATTCTAAATATTATTTATCTATATTGTACACATTTGTAATATTATCACAAATAACAAAAATTAAATTACATTTATAAATGATAAAGCGTGGAATAATTAACATTAAATAAAGAATGCTTTGTATATTTATGTAATTATATTTAATTATATATAATATATAAAATATACCAGAAATTATATTGCTATTTTTCTAATTTGTCTTATTTATTTAGGAATTTCATTTAATCATATTTCATGTTTATATTATTAAATATTTTATGTTTGTTGTGAACTAAAACTATCCTAATCACTTTAATTTTTAATTTACATAATTTTTATTAATGAGGAATGATTAGTTCTCGAAAAGGTTTATTATTATTTAATACTATTTAACAAAATATATATTAAAAAACAATTTATTAGTAGATACATTTTTTAATCAGTTGTCTGATTTTCAAATGTCATTTTATCTTATAATAAAAGAAAATTTACCAACTAAATTTATACTGAGAATTGTTTCGTACGTTAATGTATTTCTTAAATCATAATTATTCTTAAGCTCAAATACATAAATTCTTTTATTAAATCAACGAATTGGATAATAGAGTAGCTAGATTAATAATAATTAATAACTATTAGTCAATGCATTGAACAGCTATTACTTAAATGCCCATTGTTGAGGATTATAGTTGTTATTATGGTTATTAACTGAAATTATTGTATAGGCTGTCAGCACGTGTCCACTGTCCGAGTTCTCCTCCAGTGTCAACATAATGTTACACTATGATTCGGAAAAACTTTGGTAGTGGATGAATGAAATAGGTTTTGCAATAATTGTGACACAAGGTAGATATTGTCGAATTATTGGAAGCAATAAATAAAGAAATCAGATAGTATGAGAAACGAATCAAAGAATTAAAACAAAATCTTAATTAAATGAAAGAAATGGACATGTTAGAAGAGAATGTACAGGTCTTGGCAAATTACAAAACGTAATAAAAAAAGTTTCAAAAGCTTGATCGTCTTTCTCGACAGATTTCATTTTATATGATGTTGATGAAATTGATAATATTCGATGAGTCTGAACGATTATCCATTTAAGTAGATTTAAGAGTCCATTTAAGATGATTTGTGTCAATGTTGAAGTGTTTGTCAATTCGTCGTTTTATATAACTATTTGTATGTGCTAAATCGCTCGAATGAATTTAAATTAAATTATTGAAATTAACAGAAATATTGATTAGTAAAAAAAATTACCGATTCTTTGCCAATTGACATTGTTGAGTATTGACTGATGAGCATTGACATTGTTGCTAGTTATTGAAATTAAAAAAAATATAAATTTTGTTTAGCACGAACAATAATATCACTGCGCAGTGTCTGAATACTTTTTAAATAATCATACGTAAGATTGTTTTGTTAATTTGTTCAAGTTTAATGGGAAAATTAAAATGAAAATTAAAACAGCCTACCATTAAAATATTAATTCATTAATTTTTACGCGATCGATTCAAATGAAATCTATTTAAATTTATATTAAGTGTAACGGACATTCGTAAAATTGTAAGTACAATACCTATTTATCTACTAACGCTAATATATAAGGAAAAAAAAATGGAAAAGGAAATTAGTTTGTATCCATAAGGAATTATTGTATAAGATTTGAATGTAACTTATTTGTTAATGTTCTTAGAGTTTTCCATACGAGACGTTTAAAATAGTTTACTATTGGAATTTTTATTTAGAGGAAAATGTCCTTAAGTATCGATGAATTTTATTTTATAGATTATGACTCTCTATTCTTCAATGAGAAAGTTATTCTATTCGCATTTCTAAAGACGCATTAACAGTTTACAACGTCCCCAATTTATTTATTTTATACATGTCAAGGCAATAGTGCATCATTTGAAAAGTAAGAATAACTATTCACATGATTTTATTACAGTGATATTCAATTATATATATACAAATACAAATACAGATAAACTTTGGTTGACTTTGCTTAATTATTTATCAAATTTTTGATGCATTCAATAATCTTAACATAGTTATTTAACAAATATTAAATGTAATATCTTTATAATATAATAATTTCAATTTTTTCTTTTGTACATTTTCAGTTCTGCAATACCTATTAGATATTTTTTTTTTATTTTTGGAACATTACAATCTTTTCATTTTATTTCATTTTTTTCTCATTTTGTTTCTGTTATTTGATTATATTTATTAATTATCATTATTATCGTTTATTTTATCACTCTTTCTAAACATATGAAGATTATTTCATATTATCTTAATATTTGCAATACTTTTGTTTTTGTTGATCTTGTAATCAGCACTTTTTTTTTTTTTTTAAGTATTAATTTCAGTTTTCTTCAATAAAAGATGTTTTGTATTATGCGATACATTATTCCTTTAATTCTTCTGTTTCTAATTTTTATTTTCATTAAAATTTGTTTACACATATTTATTATTTTCTTCATTATTCATTATTCGCTTATTATTTATGTATTACTTATGATTTATTATGTACTTATTATTCATTATTTATAATTCCTTTATTATTAACATTTATTATTTTAAGCTTATCATATTATTTGATTATCTATCAATTCTTTTTTAAAGATAGAATAAAATTTTATTATATATATTAATGAAATTCGAATATTATTCGAACAATATATATCTGGTACTTTATGTTTCAAACATTTATACGAACTTCATATTTAATATTTAAGTAAATATGTTGTATATTTAGATGATATTAATAAGTTTATTATTCTCTCTTATTTATAAATAGAAAATATAATTGACTCTTTATTATTTGGATATTATTATTTTTTAGTCGCTATAATTGTTATTATTTATATTTTAATTAATATAATATATATATAATTATATAATTTAATAATTAATGTATATATTAATTGTAATTATATATATTTTATTGTGGACAGATAAATTCTTGTCTTATCCATTTTGTGATTTCGTTTAATTATAGTCATTCTAACTCTTTTACAATAAATGCTTTATTATAAGTTATATTTTTGATCATATTATAACTTTTACATGAATATATATATATGTGTGTGTATATATATATATTATAATAATATATATATATATATATTATAAATATATATATAATAATATATATATATATATATTAATACTTTTTAGGGTGACAGTGGTAATCCAGTTTTTTATAATGGTATGGTTATAGCTATTCATAAGTCGACAATGCCATTTCCAGGTGAAGTAGTAAATCCTCAAAAAATTAATATTCATACAACTATTCATTACTACAGAAATTTCATTACTGCTACCACTGATTCAAATTTCACTAGAGTATTACAATTGTAATTTTATTGTAGATATATAAAATATTTAATTTTTAATTTATTTAAAACTTATATTAATTATTAAATTTAAAAAAAAAATTTACGAATGTATAGGCTTCATAAAAGTATAAAATTTTTAAAAGTAATACACTTATATCATATTTCAAACACATTAGTTCTTACTTTTTTTTTTTTTATTAAATTAAAATAATTTTTTACAAATAATTGTAATGTATAGCTTCATATTATTGAAAATTATTTATGTACAATTTGTTTAAATAAATTATATTAAAAAAAAAACATTAATAAATATTGTTATCAGCCGATGTACCTATAATTTATTTATTTTTCATGAGTCATTCATATAAATGATCTTATTGTTTATTAAGACAATTTAGATAGTTCATATAAAATATCTTCCGTAAACTCAATTTCAACTATTACTGGTACTACATATTTTTATTTAAATAAATAGATATGCTTTATGCAGTTAAAAAATATGTATATATCAAGCATATATTTGTATGTATATTACTTGTATTCGCAGAGTAATAAACATAAAATTAACATTTATTTAAGGATGAAATTTAAAAGTTAAAAAATAATATATACTTCAAATATTTTTTCATATTTAATTAATGGATTACTATATTAATTGAACAATTATTCCAATTATAGTTTCCATTATATATTTGTAAAATAAAATAAATAACAAGATATGAAATAATATTTAAATTTCAACTACATCTACTTCATTCGTTAATAATTCTTATATTTAAGCTCCTTTGCATTGTTTACGTATATTAATTTATTGTTGGAATAATAATTGATATAATTAATGTACAACTATAATGTTCAATTGTTTTTTATTATTAAAATGTTTATTTTATTTGTATATAAATATTTGGAATATAGCGTAAAAATCAAATAATTTAAGTGTGTCATATATCATTTTTAATATGTAATCATTGATGTAGAGGAAAAACATTTGGAAAATGTATCTTATGTAACGGTTATTGTAATTCTCTATAATATTATGGAAGAATACAGGCTTATTATGCATTAGTTCTTAAATTGATAAATTAATAATTAATTGTATTCTTACTTTATTTCTTCTTATTTACTATTGCTAACAAATACGCACTGATTTATAAAAGATTTTATTTACAATTTATTTTTCATTTTTTCAAAAAGTACTTAAATATTAAAGATGGTTACAAAAAATCTATTGTTTTATTTACGAAAGAGATTTCATAAAGTATATATACTTTATGATATTAATAATCTATAATGAAAATGAAATGTATATAAACTCTTACAAAATTTTGAATTATGATAAAAAAATCATTATTATTCAAAAACATTAAATACAGTTTGAAAGGCTTTTAATAATTTTGTTATAATAAGATAATATCAAATATAATTCAATATAAATTATAGAGTTAAATATGTGTACATTTTAAGCGTATAAATTTTCAATTTATACTTTATCTAGTTTATAAATTAGAATAACCTTAAATAGATGCACACATTAATAACAAAATTTGATGAAATATTCACTGTAAGTACTTTAAGTTTATCAGGTAATGTAAATATTCGAGTATTATTAAATTATTTTAGTATCTTATCATGTTTCTTTATAATAATTTTATTTAATTATTTTAGATCAATCTAATTCATCATATAATAATTATTGATTGAGATTGAAAAATAATTTATTTATTGGTAATAGTGTTGATTATTAGAAATATTACAAATTATTGGCAAAAGAAGGTATTGATTTTTTTATGCTATTTGTTATAACATCCATTATATTACCGGCATTTTTATTTTTTTTTTAATTTAGTTTAAACATGATGTTCCATGTTTCTTTAAATCAATCACAAGTTTATACAGTATTGTTTAATAATGAATGATTATTTTTCTTATAAATAGAATAGGCTCCATTGGAAGTATAAGTGATAAAATGACATTGCCCAATATAAATCAAATGAAATAATTTATTTGAAAAGACAATGAGTGATTACTATTTATTTATGAAAATAATGAAAAGATTGACTTTAATTCTAATAAATGAATAAATTTTATAAAAATGTTTACAAACATTACCGTTTTTAAAAGCAAAACGAAATTATCAATGAAATAATTATCTCGACAAAATATAATGATTAGATATTTATAGAACATTTACAGATTTTTTGCATATTTATTAATGTAAAGTATACTAATATAATAAATTATAGTAATTGTAGCATTTTACTATTATGATTGATTTTACTATTATGATTGATAAATTTTGTTTAATCTAAAAAGTTAGATGGTTAATAATTATCAATGACAACATTTTAATGAAATCAGATATAGATAGAACATTATCGTTTTTCAATTTAAATAAGAGAACTTTGAATAAATCAATTTCAAGTCATACAGTTTTAATTATATTATTTATATTGTCTATTTGATTTTAATATCATCGATTTCAATAACAAAAATTGTTTATACTACATGCAATAAAAATAATTTCAATTTTTAATTTTTTTTATTACACGAATACAATGAAAATACTATAAAATAATATTATATAATAAAAATCGTTTCAATATTTAAATAATTTGTAGTGTTTTAAATAAAAGATGTTATTAAATTTAATAAATTTGTGAACATTTATGATATTTATTTTAATTATTATACGTTATATATTATACGTTATATTATATTTGAATATAATTATAATAATTTTTTATGACGAATCATTCCAATAATACTTTCATATTGTACTTTCTATATAATTTAGCATGTGGCAAAAGGTTACTTCTTTCCTTATTCAATTTTTCATAATTTGTAAGTAATAAAATGCCTTTCAAAATTTATTACATAATATAAGAAATTGTCGCATACTTATTTACAACATTAACAATTAAACGTCTTATTCAAATAGAAAGTTTATCTTTTAGGTATTCAGAATGATTTTGTCGTTACGAAACCAATGTTTGGCTCATTCGTTAGATTAGCAGAAGAGAACGAATTTGTTTTTGCTGTATCAATGGTTAAAATTAACAATATACAACCTATTATAGAAAGGGATTTTATTTGCTCAGGAGCACTTGTAACGAAGCATAATGTTTTGACTTCTGCGCATTGTACTGAAAGTTATGATCCGACTCAAGTTTTGATCTATGCTGGATCAATTAATATATTACGTAGTCGCCGATATAAAATATCATGGTGGATAACTTATAATAACTGGGCTTATTCTATGAATATGCTACCTCGATACTTATCAAATGATATTGCAAATATAAGGGTAAAGTATGTTTTAAATTTCGTTATGTATAAAATATTGAATTATAAATGCATTTTCCAGCTACGTCGCCCGGTACATCAAACACTTGTTCCAATACCAATTTCTAATTTGACGAATGTGCAATTATATGGTCAATACGTTGACATAGCGGCATGGAGTATAGACAGTGAGGATTTATTCCCTGTAAAATTGATGACAGTCACTTTAAATGTCTTGTCGTTAAACGAGTGTATGGACAGAATCGAAGTCCTTCATGGAGAAAGAGTTTCAATTGAAGAAAGACATCTTTGCAGTTTTGCAAATCCTTATGCAGTAATGTCGTTTGTATGTATTTCTTTATTAGCTAATATTTTACAGAACTGAGGATTTATAATTTTTATGAAAATACTAAATCCTTAATGTTATTTCTCCTTTAAAATACTATTGAAAGTATTTAGGTTTAATAATGTATTAATAATAAGATAATACTCATAATTATTTTCATTTAAATTATTTGATAAGTCGATATAAATTTAATATATAACTAAATTATCGAGAATGATTGTAATTAAAATTACATGGGATAAAATTTTTTATAATTTTATTGCATTAGGAAATCTAATTGACAAATACAAATATCATTTCTAAAGATAATTAATTATCACCTTGAAGAATTATCATAATAGTAATTTAATTTAATTAAGGTAACTTATTTCTATTCATTCTAATATTAGATATTTTAACTTAAACTTCAATTATTACTATTAAATAATTAATATATTATATTAAATAAACAAAATGGCTGATGAATAATTTATTGTAATTGATACAATTTGTTTTTTTTTTTTTTTTTATTATCAGAATAGATAAAGTAATGTTATTGCTTAATAGAGTTTTGTTGATATTGAATGATACATATCACAAAGATACGGTTAGACTATTTATGATAATTTAGTTTTAGGGAATTAACGATAATTTAACATATTTGATCGTTTATATAATTTATTATAAATGTTTTTAAAAATATATTTCAAAAGCAAATAATTTGGCAATCCTAGCAATTCCTTGTGCAAAGATTCATTTATCTACAATAATGACATATATTATTGAGAAAAAGTTAATTATGGTACTTAGTGTTTTGAAGGTCATTTTCAATTTTAAAATTATATAAGCGTAATTTAAATATTAAGATGCTAGTAAAAGAAGATAAACATAAAGAAGATAAGTATAGGTGAACTTAAGTTCAGATAAGAAAGTGAGAGCTTAGATTACCACGAAAGTTAAAACTCAAATGTCGGAAACGGAATTCGATTTCAGGAATGATGATCAATAATGATAGTAGTACGTACAGGTAAGTAATTAGGAATATTTCCGAGCAATAAGATTGCAATAAAGATACTTTTAAATGTAGAGACAGACAAAAAGTGGAATATTAGGTTGATTTTATAAATTCAAAATATATATCTATTCGGACCTGCGAATTAAATTAAATTAAATAGGTTAATTTTTATTATTAGACTTTTAATTTATCTATAAGATAAATTATAGAATAATTTGAAGTAATAATTTAAGAAATTCATACTTTCTTATATTTTCTTATATTTCCAACATATAACATTATTCATATAATTAATATTTATAAATTAATAACCATTATTTATAAATGAGTTGAATAAATAAATCTTTTACTTAATTTTTATAGAAACAGCATTGTATTATGAGAATAAAATTATTCTTAAATTTTTCCACATACATTGCAATTATAAAATAGTATTTTAGGATAGAATTTTAATGTACATTAATAGAGTCAGATTTAAAAAATGTTTTTATTTGTTCATTAATGTACATGACAACGTAGTATAATGTCAATTTAATATGATATTTAAATATTATTTCAAATAAAAAACAATTAACATTTCAATATTGTACTTTAATATATATATATCCATAACGTACTTTTAAGACGATTAATCACTCACTACATCAATAAAATTGATATATACATTTTATATAATTAATACATTAAATTAAATGCAACTTAATAAAGAAAACTTGTTTTGTAAGGGATCGTGTTCATTACGATGTTTATCATTTACATTTTTGCGTTTTAGGGTAACAGTGGCGCTCCAATCATACATTTAGGTAAGGTTGTAGGAATTCATAAAGCAACTATACCATTTGTAAATGAACCATACAATCCACACAAACTTAATATTCATGCGAGCATTGATTTTTATCGTGATTTTATTGTAACGGTGATTGCTCCAGATTATAGATATTTGGTAAATTAAGCAAGTTTATAAGATAAAGGAAATCGACATGCTTTGAAATATTTTTTGCAAACGGTACAAATGTATGTATACAAATTTTTATATTTGCATTAGTAATTTATTTATTACAAAAAAAAAAAAAAAGAAAAAAAAAAGAAGAAATTAACGATTGTAATAGACTATTATAATTTTAAAGTAACTAAATTTCACAATTTATTATATTAAATAATTATATCAATAAGCCTCGCTATAAGAAAACCTGCAAATGAGAAATTTCATACATATACGTGAAGACCAAGTGCACGTATGTTTATATCACATTGTAATTTAAAAATAAATAAATCTCATTTTTAATACAATTGAGTGTATACTACTTTTAAATTAAACATAATTATTTTCTCTTATGAATAATAATAACCAAATGTTAGTTTTATTAATTAGGTGTTTGAAAATGTATACACACTTTTTATAAACTTATTAATAATCCAAGATATTATTGTGTATGAGGCTGTATTTACTACAGATTTTTTTCTGTTCGAACTCTCTTGTACATATCAAAATGGAGCTTTAATGAAATGTATTATTGACATTCACTGTATGAACTGAATTTTATAAGAATATATTCTATTAATAATTGCTAATTAATAATTAATAATAGGAATTAATAATGAATTATATAAGAATTCTGCAGCATTATATTATATTCTGCATTATATTATATTAGCTTTTTAATAAATTAAATTATTTAAATCATACTTCTACATGGTGTCCAGTAGTGGTTAAGTTTTATGCTTTTCAATTTTTGTAAAGAGACTTTAAGACATAATAGTCTTTAATTGATTTTTCAGTTTCAATATTCATTGTAAAATAATTTAAAATAAAATAAAAAGAATACATTTAATATAATTCTTTAACAAATTAAGCAATTTTACGAATAAAAGGATATACAACTTTTTGTTTTTAGTAATATTTAATCTTTCGTATATTTTTTCTAAAGATGATGTATAACTCTATTAATTTCTTTATTATTAATCCATGAATTGTTCACCTTTACTCAGTATATTTTACAATGTATTTGAATAACGACATAAAATGATTTAAATGTATTAATAATAAACGGTAATAATAATGAATAATTAAGTATTAACATTTAATTGATAATTATTATTGACCTTAAAAAAAATTCGTATTATTATCTTTAAAATATGTTAATATAACGCACAAAAGATTAAAGGTAAAGAAAATTATGACAGGAAATTTGATGTTAATTTTGATAAAGAAATTTTTAAAAACCGAATTTCAAGAGAAGCATAGTCGTAATCGAAATATCAAAACTAGGCTAACGTTACTGATTTAAAATCAAAATGACGTTAGTTTGGAATATCGAGAAATTATAAAATCAAGGTAGTTTTCTAGGGTAATACATACACTGATTTTTAAGTTTTTAAACGGCCGGGTTGTGTACTAATTTATGTAAGTACATACTTGGCGCGTTATAATAAAGTAAATGTGTGAGTATCTGTAAGATGGAGATGATTTTTTTGGAGTACCCCCGACCTTTTAGAATCAAACTGTAGTTTAGTTTTTAGTCGGGACGATGTGACTCTGATGTCATCAGAAGAAACTTCCTCGAGACTAACCTCCAACGTCCCCCCGAACGGTCTCGGCATCCATCCTCATTTCATCTAATTAATAAAATCATTCGTTGGGACAATGACGCTAGTTGTCTTGAAAATCGAAAAAATCTTTGCCACATCATTTATGGATAAATAATATTATGCAAAACTTTGTTCTTAGTCTTCAAATTCTCCAAAGCAAGGAATCCTTGCCACCTCTGCTTTCCATTAATGGAATTATCGTTAAAATTTATACTAAACTTATATTTATTTCAATTTTGAAATTGTCTCAGTTATTAATCAGAGAGCCTTCCAGTAATAAAAATCTTGTCTTTTATCATTTATTTTAAGAAACAGAATATGACTAATTTCTGTAATTTACATTGCCCGTGTATTAGTTCTCCATTCCCCTTTTGCGAACTTCAAGATTTTGTTAAATTATATTTTACAAATTATAATATTTTTTTATAGAATATAAGCCAATATTTAATAATTATATTTTACATATAAATTTGCCACTTCTTTTGAATTGTAATTTTTTTAAAATTAAAATTGATCGTTGGAAAGTTAATTCTTGTGATATTACTTAGAATAAATATATATTTTTAATAGAAATTATTAAGTCATAATTAGTAATTTTAGAAACTTTCTTAAATTTTTTTTTATATCATTTTTAAAGGAATGGCATTTGCTGTAGCTGATTTTCAAATAATCATAGTTTTTTTAATTAGTCTTTATAAGAAAAGTAAAATCATTTGGACTTTTCAATTAAAATAAATAAATTCGAATAATATATTTTGAAACAATTTAAATACCAAAAGTATAAAAATACAATTTATTAGTTTAAATATTTTTAAAAATAAATATATAGATTAAAATGGAATAATAAACGTTTAATTGTCAAATTATATTATTGTTATTGTGAACATTTAAACATGAAATTATTAAAATATAAAAAATATGTAAATAGTAAATAATTTCTAATAAATTAAATATTAAAATGCTATGCAAGAACTCATTATATATATATATATGTGTGTGTGTGTGTGTGTGTGTGTGTATGTTCGTATATTAATATATATTAGAATTTTAATTTTATCCTTATAAAAATTTTCTAAGTCAAACAAAATAAATATTAACAAATAATATCAAATATTTATATTTTTAATATAATTTTGAATTCAGTATATATAAGAAAGTGTATACGTACCTTATTTTATATGCACAATGATAATTTTATTAAATTTTTAATAATTAGATACAAGTTTAGATACAACCAAGATTTGAAATATTATTTATTAAAGTTAATGGATTTTATACAACATACGTTAAAATAATTTTTTTATTATAAGATATTGTTTACTAGATAATTATAAATCAATGATATGAAAATTAATATTAAAATTATTATACATTTACATAATTTAATAAATATTAAAATATAAAATGTTAAATTTCGACTTTGATTTAATTATATTTAATATTAAAAAGATCAAGATGTGATATACTATAAAGATGTGTTGTATATTGTTCGTAGAAATATTAGTACTAATTTCTTTAATTTTTAATAGTAATATTTTTTTAATAAGAAAGTTTAATTTTCGTTCGATAGTAAAATAAAATTTTCTTTCTAGCGATTATCAAAAAGATATTAAAATCGACGTATTTAATATTATATATTGATCTTATTAAATTGATTTTTAATGAATTTAATGGAGTTTATACATTTCCAGAAATTATATAACTTATATTTAATGATTTAATTAATTATACTATTATCTGTTAATTATACTTTATACGTGATAGAATCATATTTAGAAAAGTGTTGTGACTTTGTATTGAATATAGTAAATTAAAAGATAATAATTGATTTCCCACTTGGCAATCTGTTTAAATATTAGAAAAGTTAAATTCTATTAAGTTATAAATTAAATACAAGAATATAGTAAAAGTGATATTGTAGGTAAAATGATAAATTATTTTAGTTATTTAAATTATTTATATATTCTAATAATATTATTTCTAAAACTTCCAATTAAACATACTATTTTAGTCTATTTATTGAGCTTTAAATAGAATCAATACTAATATATATTATAAAATTTTAACAAAATATAACCATAAATATAACCATATACTCCACAAACGGTTATTATATGTAATATATAACAAGTATTTTTATAATCACTTTTAATGAATTAAATAATTCAAAACAAAAGATGATGATGTATTATAAAATTATTGAATTGTTAGTATTAGTAAAAATAACTTCTTCATATATAAATTTAAACGAACAACATTTTTTTCTATTAACTATAGATTATAACAAACTTAATATAGATTTTTTTTTTAATTACACTATAGTATTCATAAGTTTTTCATATATTTTATAACATAATCTATTAGAATATTATTTTATACGTTGTGCTTATGTTAATTGTTACCTTTTATTTAATACATATTTTACATTTAAATTTATATATTTTTTTTATAATATTCTTTTAATGCTAGAATTTTAAGTGTTATAAAATTTTATATTTCATATTTTTTAATTCTTATTATATTTTTCTTCTGTGTTTTATTATCATATTTATTATAAATGTTTAAATTCTGATTATATGAGCTTATATCGTCTATATTTAAAAAAAACATATTAATATTAATATTTCACAATATTCTAGAAAATTTAGTATTATACAAAAAGTTTTTTTTTTAAATCTATCATGATAAAATAACTTTTATATATTACTTTATATCAAATAAAATATATCGAATTGTAAATTTAGTCATTTAGTCAAAATGACTATCATATTTTTTAATAACAATTTTCATACGATATTATAGTTCATTTGATTTGATATTATTAAACGCTCAAAGTATTAAATGATTATATATTTTTAGATTATTATTTATTATAATATTAAAAAATATTGCATATTAATGACAACTATCTTTGATAATAAATATTATATATGAATTTGATCCTTTGCTATTAACGAAAGTTATATTTATTACACACATCACACCCACGCACACGATAGACATATTTTAAGAATATGAAGAATTTTAATAATAAGTAATGATAAAAAATAAGTATATTTAAATATTTTTTACGTGTAAAATAATGTTAGTTTTTATTTCACATATATTATATTATATTTAAAAATAAGGAAAATATTATTTTTATTAAATTAAATATATAAAATATAAAATATTTGTAATGTTACTAAAATATTCTGAATAAAAATTTCAATTTCTCGTTGAAAATTTAATGTTCTATACAATATTTATTTTAAAAAATTATTAGAAAATTTTGAATCATTTTGAACAATTTTAATTTAGTAATAATGTTTAGACACAAATATAAATACTGATTATATTTAAAAAATAAATTATATTGGCAAT